CCCCCCAACCCAACAAACCACCTGTCATTGTGTTGATTCCATGGAGAGCTAGGTTTTTTAGAATATCTATTCTAACTAAATAAAAATGTCTTAAATACTTTAAGTAGAGGGGAGATCCAATTTAAAAACAAAACTTGTTTTCTAAAAGTGGTAAATCAGCTCCGAATGCAATAACAGGCATCAACATCATCTAATAAAATATTTATTTTTCTCCAATATGGATTTTAGTCTGCTAGTGTATACTTTTGCTATATTATAATCTATGTTGAAAAGTTTAATCCAATMATTTCTAAAATTCTCTGATTTTGAAAACTTCAGTAGATTTTTACCCACACTTTTAGATAAAAGACCATAGGAAATGAACTTGAATACTCTGATTACTTCTGACTATTCACACTTCTTAACTGCTAGGATCAGGAACTGAGCTACTCTGGATCACKCAATGAACACTGACAAGCACAGATCTGGGTACTGATTAAAACTGCACTAGATTTTTCCTACCCATGCAAGGGCAGTTGCATTTTTCACAAAGAAATGAGGAAAAAATTGTGTGTGCATATRTTTACATACATATATTCTAGGATCAAAATTAATTTTAAAAACTTCCTCAGTTCTGAATGTGCTACACCAGCTTTGAATAGCAGCAATAATAGAATTTACAAAAAGGAGTTCTCATCACTCTCTGTAAGATCACACCCTACAATAACCTGTTACTTCTTTCCTGACTCCACCTTAACAGACTGAAAAACACTGAAACAACTATGATAGCTACAACATATTTTTACTCCTAATCTCTAAATTGAGTCAGCAAATTAATTAAAAAAAAATTTATATATAAAGTAACCTTCTGAATATTCCATTATTTTCACAGTTCACTTATGTTTAAGAATGTAACTAAACTGAAGTTTAAAAATGAAAGCTATAGGAGTTTTTTGTTCTATCACTTTCCTCTATCTACACTGCCCAGCTGAAGTAAACAAACAAAAATGTAGTCTAGTCTTTCTTATTTATCATTCACATAAATAATGTGTAGAAAATACATCTCATTTACTGTACAGAAATTGATCAGATTGGATAAACAAGAAGCAACAAATACTTTTTCATTCTTATCTTATTCTTTTACAGAATTCATATAAAGTGAGATGAAATATCCTGGAAGATATTTTATCTATTAAAATRCATAAGTCACTCTGAAGTCTCCTAGTAAAGTGTCCATTGCAGGTATGTGCATAAGTTCAAATTTCAAATAGACCTTGTGTTGATTACCTTTTGCAATTCCTGAGCCAGGAAATTTTGTGGAAATTTTTACATTGTGGAGCAAAGTAACTACAGGAGAGAGTCACTTACAATGTAATACACCAAAAGAAATATGAAATTATTATAAATTTTAAAATACTTTTGACTCATGTAGAGAAATACACAAAACTATGTGTGCGAACTAGCTTTAATTTTTTTCATACCAGTATAATTAGTTTGCTGGAATAACACAACAGATTTTTCAAACACCAAGGAGATAATTTCACATTGCCATGAAAAATAAAACGACAATGCTTACCTTCCAGACTTTTTATACCTGAACAGCACAACATACTATAATGCAACAAATAATTCATTTGCCCTTTTGTAGTAACCTTTGTAAACCATTCTCCGCCAAGGCTAATTGTTTGTGCGCATATCCCTCCTAAACCTCGGTATATTGCAAACTTCAGTTTTACTTTGTCAACATACATTTRTACCTAGGACTCAAAAGACACTTGCAACACCATGCAGTGAACTCAGTAGCCTAATAGGATGTAATATTAGGCCTAAAAACTTCAGGAGCATTGTCTATTAAAAAAATTGTGATAAGCCTGTTTCTTTAAATATAATTAAATCTTACACACACACAGAAAAACAAAAATTAAATTTCAAAACATCCATTAATAAAAGACCCCAATACCACACACTCCTTTAAAAATGATTTTTGGGCATATATTTATTAAACATGAAAGCAATCATAAGCAAAAAGGTCTTCCATAAATACTATACAGAATTAAAATAATTGCTTACTTAAAAGTTGCATAATCATTTGTAATTTTATTACAATGATATAGTACTTTTAAAATAATGACTTCAGRTATATGCACATATCTAAATAGACACACACATTTTTTGATTTTTATGTAAGCAAMTTCATCTCTGTCACAGCCATGTAGGGTATTAAAAGTTTTTTTTTTTTATTTGTGTTCAATGCATATCAAAGACACACTGTCCATTCACAACAAATTCATCTATACAATATCACATTCACATCAGGCTTTTCTGTGGTGCCAYTAATCTTGAAGATTCTCTTTACTGAATATTCCAACTATGAAATCTTAGAAATACAGCCATTTTAGAAATTTATAGAAYATTTAACATGCTGGTCAAAAGTAAAAGAAAAAAAGAAACAAAGCATTGACACAATCTTAACCAAGTAGAGAGAATGAAGACAAGTACCTGTAGGTCTGGGAGAAAGATTTTCATCTTATATTAAGTGTCAAATAATTTGTTTATAAATGTTATATTTCCTCTTTTTAGGTTCACAAGATTCAGAAAAAAAAAGTGCCCTAAATCACAGTAAGTCTTTATCCATGTACCCAGAGACAGATTTACTGGCAACATAGTGCTGAAAATACTGTGAAATGTTTTCAATTGAATCCGAGAACCATGTGTGAAATATGTTAATTCAAACTAAGCAGAGCATATACCGATCAAGTTTTATAATAAAAATATTTTCASTGAAGAACCTTCTGCTTCAACAACCTCAAGAGACAAATCATTGGCACCTCAAAAGAAATGCACTAGACAAATATGATGAACATCAGCACAGAAACTATATTCACAATTATCTACAGCTTGCCACTAAAATAGCAAAAGCATTAGCATGTGTTTTCCCACAAAATTCAGTACATTATAGATCTGAGAAACATGCACTACTATACAARATTTAATACATATTCTTAGAGTTGACGCACTAAGCTTCAGTTCTGAGAAAGCTCACAGAACTAAAACAATTTAYTTGATCATAACTGACAAAAGCAGAAATGAACCTACAGATTTTCTTTTACAAATATGTTCTCTTTTACCACAAAGACTCTTTACTTGTCTAGAAACCACTGACCCCCTGGGGATGCTCAGTCAGTAGGATGTGATTGATTACTTCAGTTATTTCTGTATTTGCAGAGGCACACCATGGCATGATCTCTTTTAAAAMTTTTCATATAATTCTAAGTGCTATGAAATAACATTTGAGTATTTAATTGAGTATTTAATCAGTGTAAAAATATTTAAAACAATCATTACAATATTTTTTTCAGTTGGCCAATATTTTTTCAGCCATAAGAAGTAGAAGAGGTGTGATACCAAAGTGAAATAGGATCTGGAYATTTCTTAAATCTGTTTCAAATCTCAAAATCATTACACATGCTCTTCCCTGCCTCTTAATTTTGGTTGCACGCTGGAGTCCCYTTTTTTTCCTAATGTAATCTTAAAGCTTGGAGCAACTACCTTCTTAAATACATTCACTTTTCCCCTCCCTTGCCCCAGTAACTGTGCCCTTGTAACAATCTTATTTCTTTGCATTTGTACAAATGCTTTCCCTATTTTTTYAAACTCAAATTTCAAATAACTATCACAACTGCAGCAACAGTCCATAAGTAAAACTCTCCTATMAAGAAGAAGCACACTGATTTGCTTWAAGTACAGAGAAAGTATTGGTCAGGCAGGTGGGATAGTTCTAGTAGCTCTATTTCATCGATCATCAAATTAAATTCTCAACTCTGAAACATCATGTAAGGCTGCATACTAAAACACATCAAGCACATAAAAATACAGYCAGTGTTCAGGGGTGATGAATTTCTAGGCACTTAATTTTCATTCTTTTCTACAGAAATTCTATMAATTCTTCTAAAGATCCCATTAGACATCAGTGTGCCATGGCCACTTCACAGCAAGGACTAAATGATACCTTTACAGCAATTACAAAAGTCTTTCAGATAATGAAGATCCATTACATTGTATATAAATTCTATTTTAAACAAGACACATCACCTCAGTTATACAATACCTTACAACAAATTTCAAATGTTTCTATACACAGCAACAAAGGAGTGACTTTTCACAGTCACAGAGAAAATAAACTAACACTAGGAGAAAGTAAGGGCTCAAAGGTGAGTGCAAAGTTGTCAAGACCAGTAAAGTGCTCAGATACCTACAGTGAGAAAAGACCAGTGGATKACAAAAGTTTAAGCAAAGGGAAAACAAAGAGACTTGTCTTTTCAAAAGGTTTTTTAATAACATATGCAAAACATTCAATTGTTCCCTCACATTTAAAATAAATATATGGACTCYGGGCTTTAAAAGCATAAACATACAACAAATTATAGAAACAATTTATGTATAGCTATTTAAGGGATYTATAGTAAAACAGTAATATCAGAAAATGGAAGTGGTTAACTTGGGAGTGGTTGAAGAGTAACAAGTGCTTCTTAAGTCTCAGACATTATTGACTGGGGTCATACCTATGTCTATGTCAGTTTATCCACCTGAGTATAAGCAAAACAATATAAGCATTAGTAAACACTTCTTTCAGAGGCATTGCATACTTTGCAGTAATTTAGTAGGAAAATGMAAAAAAATACAGAGAAATTAGTAAGAGMCCAGTAAATCTAGAGGCACATGTCAACACACCAGCTTATATATCTCCATCCAATTTCTGTATTCTTTCAAGCAGCTGAGGGCATTACATGATACCTCATTGCTTGAACAGCTGCAGAGAAATGACAAGAGAACTAAACTGTAAGTAAGTAAGAGATATATAAACAAACTTTTTTCATACCAGAAGAACTCTAGAAAACAACAGTGTTAACTGTTTTATATTAATTTGGAATGACAAAGTTTTCTGGAAGAAACATACTGGTTTGGTTTGTTTTAACAGAAATCCTCCCATTCACCTTACCACTTAATGGGGAGATTACAGTGAGGTCTGAGTAAAGAGTGCAATTTTCACGAGTTCTGCTGAAATCAATGGAATTCCAATTGTTACTAGTGGTCACAAGTTTCAGCATATGAACTAAAACACAGGCTCAGCACCTTATATATAGATTAAGAAAATAAACAACTAAGAAAGAATCCACTCTGCTAGGATTAAATACTTGCTGCAAATAAACAAAACACTGCAATTTCTACTATTCCAAAGTTTAGGGCTTTGTTATGAAATTCTATGGAAGTCCCAGAGAAAATATTACTGAGCAGATACATCTGTGTGACTTGAACCTTTCAAACCTCATAAAAAATAGCAGCTAAAAATCMCATTTGACAGGTGAGATTCTTAGGACTGAAAATACTCATTTCCAGYCACACCAATGTCTTATAGCAGCATTGGTAGGGTGCTTATCTGAATAACAGTAAGATTTTAGAATCTACAATTTGGAATCCTGGAACAACKAAATGAAATAGATGAAAAAGAGAAATCTCAGACTTCAAATTATACAAATGGGTAGTTGCTCTCATTGCTACCAAATCAGGTTGCTCCTCAAAAAATGTATTTCCTACAATTATAGTTATTGTAGCTTGAGTAARATACTGGGTTTAGAAACTTTAAACATTTAAAAAAACACACTAGAACTGTGCTGCAGTTAATTAGAAGAAAATAAGTAACAACAGAAGTTGAAATAAATTTTTTGCATCTTTAGGGTTTTTTTCCCCCCCCCTCAAAAAATATTTTCCACTCTAATTCAAACTTTTTTTTTTTTATCATTCCAAGTAACAGAAAAAAAAATTGTTCCTGGTCGATATCCAGTAATCTGTAAGTCTACCCCATGTACCAAACAGAAAAAAAATTAAGTAAACAACAACTCTTTCTGCAGTTCTTCKGAACTTTCTTTCAAATATTTTTTTTTAAACAAAACCCAGTGGTGTTGCATCAGACATACCTCYACAGTGCTTTAACCACAAGCTAATCATATGTCAAGAACTCCATGTGCAAAGCATTAAAAAGCATAAATGTAGATTATTCCACAACTATAGACATGCATCCTGCAAGAAGCTATGAGGATAAAAATGTAGATTACAGCACCAGYTTGATCAAAAACACAACTACAGAAATAAAGGAAATTAGAAACTGTGYCAGTTTTTTTGTTATACTTTGGTCATGTAGAGTTATCCCATGCAGATGTTCTGAAAGCTCAGCATGCGAGTTACCAAGTTAAAAAAATAACTGAAAACCAAACAGATTTCCCTGAATATTTCTGAACCAAAATATCCAGTAAGACAGAATTGCCAATATTCCCATAATCTTTTTAGCTTTTCAAAATTAAATTCAGTAGTAGTGCATATACATTCAAAAGATATAATAAAGACATTTAGTAACAGATTCTTCAGCTCTCAACTTCTTTTTCAATATAGTCAATGCATTAGGAAACAACTGCAGCAGGGACAGCTCACATAAGCCACTGCTCTTGTTCTTTTCTGTACTTCTCAGACCACTTCTGAGTAAGCTCTAGGTAAACATTTGGTTTATGGGGTTTATAATCAAGGTAAACCACCTGTCCGGTCCGTTTAGGGACAGCTTTTTCAATCTGAGTTCCCTCGTGCCATTCATTAAAAGACGTAATGGAAATAATTTCTGGTCGCACCAGAAGGGCTGCGCTGAAGGCAGTCTCATAGTACTTCCCATTGACACGATTCCGGGTGTTGTGGTTATTCCATGGTCGGATGCTGGTGTCAATATAACCTGGCCCCACACTTGGAATAAACATTAAGTTGTTACTATCACAAAAGGCTTTTAAACTTGCCCAGTTATGGTGAGATGAGCCGTAGGAGAAGCCATTGGTGGCAAAGTASGTGTACATTCCATCAAAACCACTTCTGTGAATGTCATGCTTATGTCTTTCTTCTACAAGAAGTGCAATGAATAACGCATCATACGGAGTATTTCGAATACTCTGGGATCCAGAAACAGTTAACAGATTTGCCCATATTTCAGGAATTGTTACGTAAGAGTCATAAACATAAAACAATGGAAGAAGTCTGCCTGTGCTGGTCTTATGCCTGTAAAAGGCTGGATGGCTTCCGTATCTATAAAGCAAACAAGCATCATTAAGACAAAATCTGCCATTTGGAAAATATTGTTGTACAATCTGAGTTGAAGACTTTTCCTAAAAATTAATTTTAAAAGACAGGGCATGGACTTTGGAACACAGCAATTAATATCGCTTTCTTCATAATATAACTTCAGTGTTTGCTGAAGTGTCAAACAATCATTCCTCAAAGAAACTTTAAATTACTACAAATTAGTAACTCTCTTGGGTTTGGCAAGGACAGAGTTAATGTTAGTAGCTGGTACAGTGCTGTGGTTTTTTGATTTAGCATGAGAATAACACTGATAACACACTGATATTTTGGCTGCTGTAAGTAGTGCTTACCCTAAGTTAAGGACTTCTCAGTGTCTCCTGCTCTGCCAGTGAGGAGCTGCACAGAAAGCTGGGAGGGAGYAAGGCCAGGACAGCTGAGCTGAACTGGCTAGAGATATTCCACACTTCAGGATGTCATGCCCATGTATAAAGGAGGCGGAGCTACCTCGAAGGGGACTGAACATTGCTCAAGGCTGGGCTGTGTACTTCTCTGTAAGTGGTGAGCAATTTGTCTTGGATTCCTCTACCCTCWCTCCTTCTCCTTTCCATTAACATTCTTACTAATACTATTGGCACAATTATTATAACAGTATGTTGTTTCAATTATTRAACTGTTSTTATCTCAACCCACAAAGTCCATCTTTTCTTTCTGATTCAATCTCACCCAGCCCCCTGGTGCTGGGGGATGAGAGATGAGGTAAGCAGCAGCTGCTGGTACCGAGTYGATGGCTGGGGTTAAACTGTGAAAATAACTTAGTGTCAAACTGTGCTACAGTTATTAGTTTCCTCTGAAGGGCAATTCTCTAATTCAGAATGAAACAAGACAGTCTAAGGAGMACTGCAAAACAACTAGTAGGGGTACAGAATTTGTCAAGATAAATTAAAATCATTAGAGGTCAACACAAAGTTCAATCCGCTACTTTGTCACTATCAAAATGTATATTTMATTTAATTTATATATCATGTAGATAACCTGCTTTAATATAAAGTATAACTTGGGATATTAATGAATGCTGAAAGCAATTTACATTGGAGAATCCATGTAAAATTCACACTTCGCTATTTAAAAAACAGACTAGTTTTGCACTCTGAAATATGAAAGAAGTTCCTTTCAGTTCTCTTCAGTCTCAGGAGACATTCTTATATGTTCTTACAAAATTTAGATCATACACAGAAATTCCCTAAACCAGAACCCCATAAGATAATAAGATACCCCAAARGAAACCATTCTGAAAGAACTCACTTGTCAATGATGTACTTGACATTGTGGTACATGCTGCGATCATCCCTGTCTTTGTAAGGTTCAATATGAAAAGTGACCTGAAAGATGAAAATGTAAGAGCAACACAAATKTAAAACACTATTGAATACATGGGCACTGTGTATTGTATGAAGCAAATACCACTCACAAAAARTACAGTTCTTTATAGACCAAACATTTTATCTATACTCTATCTATATTGAGAATAATCCAACCCTAATACAACTGCTGCACTACCGAGATTAGAAGCTTCAGATCTTGGGAAGTTTGGTTTTTGACATTAAAACAGAACAAAGCTTTTGTTTTCCCTAGGCTACAGCAAGTGGTAATCATGCTTCAGAAAACTCAGAAATCTACAAAAACTAAAACTTAAAATATTATCTATTTTAATGTCAAAGAACTGGCAAACTAATGAAACATTTTAATATTTAATTTCTAACCAACGTATTAAATCTGCTAAAGATAATGCTCGAAGGATAGTTTTCAGAGTTACAATAGATTTCAAGATATGGGATATGAAAACTTTAATTTAAAATTTTATAGATTTATCAACAGAAATAAGCTCTTGGAAATAAACCTAATATAATGTACTGCTACTGCTCTTAATGTCAAGCTTGGAGCTTATGGAATTGATTAATCAATATGCGTGAATTCCAATGTAAAAATGAATTTATTTTCAAATATACAATCATGGAAGAGTACATTACATTAATCAAAGCAACAAGCTTYTCAGAAGCAATTTTAGAGCCCAATGCATTTAATAAAGTCTTTGATGACTCTACAATAGTAGAAAATTKCCATTGCAGAGCCAATCTATTAAGCAGAAACTATAGAAAAATAGTGTTAGACTAAATCACTAAGACTGACAGYAGAGGTTGAAGAGCACTATAATTTCGTATTTCATTTCCAAATATCAAAACCAGGCAAATCAAAAGGGCATCTCTTCTCCCAGACTTCTATTTAGCAGACATAATAGAAATGTATTTTGTACATTGGCTTTGGTCTACCCAGATTCCTAATGCTTACTGTAATAACTTACTAGTGCAAGAATGCTCAAAAACATTACAGTGAAGATAGCATTTCCTGCAATATATATACAGAATATCTGCATTCCAGTAATTCTTCCAAGTGGTAATAGCAGCTTCGTCCATATTCCAATCATTACCATACTATTACAATCTATTTTATTTTCCRGGGTAGCTTATTTAATTTCTCAACTCCTTTGAGAGTTGAATGTTAGCAAGTGATTTTAGGTGAGAGCAAACTCCATTGTATTATCTGAAAATTCTGGGCAAGGATAATCCTTTTTTCTGTCTGTTTAATAATTTATTATTAGACAGTGAAACCTATGTCATATAATGCAAACCACTCAGTATTTTTAACAGTTTCAAAAACTACATCTGTATCCCATTTARCCATCCTATTTTCCTCCTGCTTGCTAAGGAATCTAGTTACCCCAAATGACAGGGAACTTCTCTGAGAATCTGCAACTTGCATGACCAACTAAAACCCMAGCAGATGAACAGGCTGTGTTTTCAGTACACAGTACAGACAGCCCACTCCAGAGATGAAACATAAGCAGCTACTCGAAAACTCAAATTACTTGGAAAGATTGAAATAAAATGCTCCTTTTCATTATAACAAAAATACAAATTTTATCCTAAAAAGAAACAAAACCAAACCACAATTTAAGATCTAGTAATCAATTCATGCAATCTTTAACTGACTTGATATGTCACCGATTTTAAGAAGTCAATAACTTAGCCTTTCTATCCTGTCATGCCCTGGAATAACCCTAAAGTCTGAGCAGCATGTCTCTGACCTTACAATCTAAGGCAAGTGTTCCTGGCACCTTCTGGAATAAAGACATTTATTCAAACTAGATATTCTAAATCTCTATTACCCATTGATAATTGCTCCTGACCTCTATGATCARGTGCTAGCAAGTTATGAAATAATGYAAAAKGAAGATARTCTTTTTTCTTTCTCAAAGGTCCTTAGTTTATAGCTCATTCATATTTCACACTATTTTGGAATATATAATACCTCCTTCAACTCTCAAGACTCACTGGAAAACAAAAAAAATGTCTTATTTTAAAAACTGTTTCCCGAAATTAGAGAATAAAAATCAACAACACTATGCTTTAGATTCTCCAAGCTAAAGCAGATTACAATATTTATTCTRTTTATAAGGGAGCATTACTCAGGTCCTACCAAAGTTCTGTGCAATTCAAAAGCTTCCATGTCCAAAAAGARGTGCAGCACAATAGCAAGATTTACTTTCCTAATTGGTCCAATYTTATGCATCTAGAAATACTTTACCTTTAGATTATATTTGTGTGCATAGTCCAGAACAACTGGCACCAAGTCATCAGTCGGTTCTCCATTTTCATCAGCCATACCTGGTGGGTACCATGAAAGCACTATTACACCTGAAAATAYAAAACTTGAGTTTTAAATCATGTTATTTAAAATACTGCATGTATACTGTAACATTGTCATGAATTACAATTAATGATGTGAAATCTACATAATGTAAGTCGGAATCTYAAACTACTTTTTAATTAGTTACAAAATGTCAGTATTCTCAGAGTAAATTTAACTCCTCTCTTTGTTTATGGGACTACAAAACAAATTGGCTAGATCATTTATCAAGGGAACAAATCTGTGCTCAGTGTCTGAAGCCTATCACTTAAAGCTGCTCCCTCTGACATTTCAGCACAGATTGTACAAGTGGAAAAGAGTACTCCCCATTAAGGCATTACAGCCACAATACAGCCAGAGAATATCAAGATACACAGGTTATAGAACACTCAAGAGATGAGGGCTATGCATATGGTGAAGGAGATTCTTATCTTCTGGAAGTTTATTCTCCACATTTCTTCATTGTACCTCTGGCTTTATCACAAAACAACCATTTAATACTAGAAGRAGTGACTGTAATCCCACAACCTTCTTTCTTGCTGGTACTGTTACTATGGTGTAAGTCACCCTTCCACGCGTATTAAATTAGTTTTCAAATTTATTATCTTCCAAAATGCTTGAATAACTCTCAATAATTTAAGGATGCTACTAGTCCTGTGGGAAAAAAAGACAACAAATACCATGTCTTCATATTGTAAATTTTTCTGATGGTCTSCAAAAAGGCAAAAGAACACACATCTCTTCAGAAAGGCCAAAYCCTTTCCTTCTAAAATAAAATGTTGCCAGATAAACAAATTAGATTTAAATGTGAAGCTGGGAACAGTATCAAAAAGAAGCTAAATCCAAAAGAAACACATGAAATACTGATGTAGAAATACATAAAACACCGATGTAGAAATATTTTCCTAACAATGCTATTTAAAACATATGAAAGAATACGTCAATGTGGTAGTCAACTAGAGTAAGTCAACTAGGTAGTGATTTAAGTACATAAATAAGGCCACCAAGAAAGGGAAGTATATATTCTAAATTCCATCTACTTTACTAACRTTATAACATTTCTGACTAACAATTTCCAACAAACAATTCCACAATTAGAAAAAAAGAAACCATGAATTACCCTAACATAATCACCTTCTAATATCCAAACCACAAATTTGAGCTCACTACACACAGAAGGGAGTTCAAGTACCCTTAGGCACATTCTCTCCCCATTTTATCAAAAAGGAGATCACAAATAACATATTACCACAAGAGACAGTCTGCTCAAGGGAAGAAAAATGCAGTATTTTACTGCATTTTATCAGATTATCTTTTATTTCACACAAAAGAARTGGACTAAATGCAAATGATTAGGTTACAAAGGACAAGCAGGACAGCAGCAACAAATCTGAGTATCTTGAATACATCTGCTAAGACCCTCTTTTATATKTTTAGGAAATATATAAAAGTTCAGGAGAGAGAATTGTTGAACAAGGACCTAAATTCACATTTGCAYTGGTCTTTTATTGAAAAAGACTACTTAATGTTTTCTTTCCTGCGGTTAAAAAATAAAGTTATGCACCACTTCTAGAGTCTAAAACAAAAGGATGGACTTGATGCTAAAAACAGTGTCATAAATGTTTAAAACCGAAACAGTTAATGGAGGGAGACAAAAGTGGACTACCACAACAACAGGCTGGTGTAAAAAAAAATAATATCCGCAAGCAATCTCAAGAATAAAATCTACTGTATTAATCTGTAGAATAACAGGAAATTAATACATTAGAAGTGTTAAATATAAGATTAGAAGGAAGCACTGCAYGAGACTCCTGTTGCTCCACTCTCTTATATGTCTTCGCTCATTAGACAATACTGGCTGAAAGAACCAYGTACATTTTTTCTTTTTTTCGTAACATCCTTGATAAAGCCTCAAAAATCGCTAGAAAAAATTAGTTGACAGAATGTAAAATGCAATCATGCATGAGACTATTTCTCTAAAAGAGAAAAAGAAATGGTAAATAGCCAGGCTCACAGTACACAAAATATGAACAAAGTATAATTTTTTAAAAAAATGTATGTGAAGTAATGACTTGAGGGGAAAAAAGTTGATGATTTATGTTGGTCAAATCCAGATGGAAGAAAACAAATCCAATTGTACTTATATCCATAAATCAGAATAACAGCAGGAAAAAAAGTGACTCTTTATAAATATCAGTAATGTTACAGACTGTCACAGGAAGCCTGAACTACTCATTCACACAGCTGAGTTTCACATGAATAACTAACTCAAGGTACTAAAACAACTGATTATGCAAAGCATTTTTCCTAGGAATTGGCACCTTTTCCACCAGCAGTTCAGCTTTCTTAGACATGTGTCTTAAGAGGATGACAAACATCGTAGATTCTTTTAAAGGTATAAGTGCTCCCCTTGCCTTCATCACACTAGCATGCGTTATTTTGCTTAGGTAAGACTAGAACAATGTTTACTGGCAATCTCTAATTGAGATTTTTCTGCAATCTTACTCCTCTTGATGGGGTTGTATTACTGAAGAGGATGAGAAATTTTCTATGTTTGTATTAAGCCTAGTACAAATTAAAGGTCAGGTTAAAACCCACAAGGTAACAGCAACCAAGAAGTAAACACTACCTAAGTAAATACCACTAATCAAAATGTAACAATTAAATTAAACTTCAATGATTAGGTGAATGAAAGAGATTCAATACAAGGTGATTAGCAGTGTCAATAAWGCTATGTGCTCTGATCATGTTGCTCCAACTCCATTTACAGAAGCTTTTCAGAATTTAATATTAGCCTGTATGACTGCTTATTTTAAAGAAGATTAATGTAAAAAGGACGATGCACCAAAGCCCAACAATAAAGAACGATACCAAATAATACTGAATATTCCTAGGTATATGATTCATCTTATTCAGAAAAAAGGAACATCAACTTGTTTTGAAAGAAGACACTTTCTGAAAATACCAAATTAATATGTAATTGTTACTGCACATGGAGCATTCAGAGAAAAAAAAAACACTAATATTTGAAAGGACTGCTGAACCATSTTAGCACGGTTTACTGAAACCTGTKCTTTAAACCAAAGTATTCATCTACMAAAMTAAAATAYATAGACAGTATATTCTAGTAAAGGTGTCTGTATTTTTCATGTTATCAGTGTTTAGCAGTAAGTCATGAAAAACATGTACCTACAGGATTATAAACACTGCTCTTTTGTTTCTGTGCAGTTACACTCATCAGACACAGCTTCGAAGATGTAGGTTTCAGTTGGGGGCTAAAACTCAAGAGATATTGAAACATTTACTAGTTACAAACATTTCCTGAATTACATAGAAAAATAAAAGAATAGCTCAGTTGTGCTCATTCACATATGTACAGCTGGATAAATGAACAACATGTTGAAACGTTAACATTCATTACCAGTTGAAGCTGAACGCATTTGTTTCATGTGGGCTTCTATSACAGCAGGGTCTTTGGAACTGTAAGATCCAAGTTCTGGATAAAAGTTGGCCCCAATGTCCTCAGGAGGGTTATGCCTTCCCTTTGGATAATTGTTTGCAATTTTGGGATCCCAATGTGGCAACAACGGATGATTCCAGTGAATGTATTTACCATCAAACTGTGGATTCCCATACCAAGTATAGTAGAATATGTGAAAGTTGTAATTAGGAGAAGACAGCTCTTCTTCCAGCTTTTTTAATGGAGACATAGATGCTTTCATAGTATTGACAGTAATACTATGCAAATTACTGACACGTGTTACAGTATCTCCTTGAGCCCTATTTAGGGAATTCTGTTTACTGTCTAACAGCACTGTCCGTTGTTGCAGCTCCGGCAACAAACCAAGTCCAAATGGATCCCCGAAGCCAGCTCTGTCAGGTCTCAGAGTCTTCAAAGCCATCATTATGGAGCAAATAAACAAAATAAAAAGCAACAAAATGATGCATGTTCTTCTGCGAAATCTTGCCATGATGTCATAGTTCAGAATCTCAACAGGATTTTGGCTGCAACTGATCAAAAGACAAATATTTTCAAGTCAGATTTCTTATTACCTGATCCAACAATATAAAATGCTTCATAAAGTCTCTATATAATAGAAATAACACAGAGACAAATGTGATGTGCACACTGATTGCATAACTAACAGACCTTTTGGGGGGTTGGGGTACATAAACAGAGCAACATTTATTTTTTGAGCATATGTCAGATTCTGAGGTTCTACCCTCAAGAACTCAAATATTTTATAAAGCATATTATTTTGTAACTTCATTGTTATCCTAACCGCATATAAATCCCAKGAAATGGAAATTCTAGTTACATTATTTCAGAACTATCATGTTTGGTAAACACTGTTCTGGTAGAAATAATTAAAAAAGGAGAAGGAAAAAACAGAAGCCATGAAAGGAGAATAACATAATAGAACAAAAGACAAAATGGGGTCTGACTGAACTACAGCTTAYGTTCAGAATGCAGGTTTCATTTACTTACCGATTTACTGGCTTGAGACCAATCACTTTGTGTGGTTAACCAATATATTAACAAAATACTCTGGCAAATTAAATTCGAAACCATAATGCTTTGCAACTTTATGGATCTAAAATTCTAACTTTTTTCTGAATCATGCAAACAAAAAAGAGCACAGCATTAAGGATGTACCTCAAGCAGAAAGCCTGCAAGTTAGCTGCTGGCAGCCACTTAATACAATGTCACAGCTGCCTGACACTTAATATAGTGTTCCACTGCTAAATTCAAAACAAGACCAATGGTACACAGCAAGATTTGTGCCTTGAAAGTAAGGGGAAGAAAATCTGTATAATGGAAGAAATTGCTTTATTTATAACTTTAATTCCTGTTCAACATTATCACAAGAGAAACAGAGAAAAGGATTAACAAAATTTAGGTTACCACAGAATTATGTGGAACAAGATTATGCAGAAAACTGACAACACTAAACTGATTCATGAGCCATTAGACATAGCATAGCTGTGATCTGTATTTCCGTCACTGACCTCCAAATTTTAGAATCTTATTTTACTGAGATATACACATATAAATTTAAGATACTTATAAATTATTTCACCCTAGTTTCCTACCAATGTTATAGTGCATTAACATAGAGCTCAGTTGTCACAACATGCTGTTTGCTACTGCTATGATAATTTTAGAGTAGGAATTTTAGAATATGCTTTTTAACAATACAGCCTGAATTGGACTGGCAGTATTACAATGCCATGAAGGGAACTTCTGCATCCATTTCCAATATTAATCCATTCATCCTACTGTCTATTCCTACTTCTTCTGAGATTCATTTGGTTTTCACAGTAAGGTCACTCATTTACTTTAAGAGCAAAACTCTGTTAACATTTCAAAAAATAAACAATATGAACATCCCAATGCACTTTYAACTTATTAGAGAGCAGACTCAGCTGATTGAGTATCACAGCACTAAAGTCAACAAAGAACAGATGGAGGAAGGCAAGACTATGGAAATGAGGTTGTTCATTTTGCCCAACTGGATTGTGAAACCATACGTTTGGCTACTGTCAGGGAAAATGACTTTACAGCTTAGATACTCAGAGGATTTCACATTGCTTTATGCCAAATTACAGTGTTCTTTTTGTATGGCTAACAATACAGCCCATGATCTGGGAATTCTGTCAGAGATTACCTGCAGTACAGAACATCTTACTTTAGTAAGAAAATAACTCTAAATACACTCAAACCACTCCTGCTATTTTTCATTATCTTTTCAGTCTTCTTTTTAGTATATTATGCTATCCCTACCTGGTAATTAAGCTCAATTTTCAGATTAGGCAAACTGAAGTTTTCTGAAGAATTTCTTTTTAAGGAAACAATGCTATTTATCTGGCTAACGTATTCATGTATTCTATTTAATTTAACCTAGATGCCACCGATCTTCATTAAACAATACACAAGACTGCAAAGATAAACTATTCCAGAAACTATTATTTTATCTCTTCTGTGAAAAAGAATCATGACTCCAATGTCTAAAATTAAAATGTTCATAAGGTCATTCATTTGGGTTTTCCTATTCCATATCGAAGAAACTTCCTTTTTATTTTTGGTTGACATATCTGCCACTSAATTCCTCCTGTCTGGATCAAGATTTCACTATCATTAAGTGATTTGTCTGAAGTGTCAAGAATTGATCTTGGTGCTTCATGTTATTATTTCAACCAGTATTTTTTCTGTGAAATATTCACCATTGAAGTATACTAAAAATGAGTAGCATAATTACTAGCATTCGACTAGCACTGAGACAGACCCTGCTCTACCATGGCATGTTAKGAACTTCTACTGTGTTTATACAGAGGCTCAGCATCAAAGTGTAAAATTTCTAGAAGGAATAAGTGATATCTGTGGCAAAGGCTTCTGCTTTGGTGAGACATCACTCTCAATGATGATAACATTATTCAGACCTGGCACAGACACCTATACTGTAAAAGCTGCATTGAAGAGCTACAGGTTGGCGGTGCTTCACGTGTCATTTAATCTTGTTCAGATCTACTTTTCAGAGACGGTGACAGACAAATTACCCTCATCAATGCAAGTGCCACAGCAGAACGGCAATGTTGGGGAAACAGACTGAGCAAACATGYCCCATGAAACAGCTGCCTGAAGTTATGTCTGTCCTTGGAAGTGGAGAAACCTTATGAATACATTTCTGATTCAACAGTCATTAGACAAAGCATAGCTGTGATTTTGCATTTGTCACGGATATTAAAATTTTAGAGTCTGACTGCAATTTCCTGAGGTACACATMACTCCTATAGACTTAGGAAGTATCTTGCCTTGGACTTTTGGGTGCACTYGGATCTAAGAGCAATTGACTTTCTCAGTAGGAAAAAGTCACCTGARTAACTTCAGCTTTATGCAGGTTATGATCTTGCATGCAGTTACTCTGACTCAGAAGCTTGTGGATTCTATCTCCATGTTTGCTGACACATATAGGTCTACCAGCCAAAAATGAAAGCAATTGGGGCTCTTTCTCTTGACTACTCAATAAATTTAAAAAGAAGAAAAAAAAAACCACCTGTAAAAGGTCAGAAGAATGAGTTTGTTTAGATATCTATTGGTTTSTCCCTTAATGAATACAGATGTTAGTTTCCTTCATTACATGAGAAAAATATGAAACTTTACCATGAAAGGGTAGAGTCTATATTTCTTTAATATCCAGTTCCCTTCTCAAAAAKAAGTGACAAAATTATTTTACTTTTYAGTTTGTAAGCTACTATATAGAACTAAAAGCACAAAATCCACATTAGTTTATCCCACTATTATCATCTCTGTTTAAAATTAATTTGGGGTTTTTTTTGTACTAAATTGAATTAAATTCATCACAGTAGGCAAAATCTCCAGCTGTTCTTAGAACAACTCCTCCGTGAAGAAAAGGGTCTGTGAAAAAAGCKGAAGTATTTTCTTAACTGTTCTCCAAACTCACTCGAATGTCTCAAGCTCTTACCTGAGAGTGATTTTTTTCTCCCTCACTACTGCTTTTTATACCCTTAAGTTATTGTGCAGGGAAGCTTTCTGTTTGTCCTTTCAAATATACGATGAAAAAGGCATACAGATGTACAGATGATGAGCTTTTCTTTCCCTGACATGTTTCCACAAATAAGGATGTTTCTGTAGTCAGAGAAGAAAAAACAATTAAAAAAAATAGTTGAAAGGGGCAGTGGTGGTTAATTACTCTAGATAAGTTTGGTCAGATAACTCAAGTTTCAATGCCCTGCCCATGGGTATCTTTTTTTCAGTTTTACCAAATCCAAAAGGGAAATACGCAATGCCAAGAAAGTCGGTTCAGATAAAACTTCAGGTAAAGTAGGTTTATCTAATTTAGTGAGAATCAGCAAATACTGTAATTTATTTGCTCTGATGTTCYTTACCCGTAACAAATGGAAATGCATCGGAGAATCTGATTTTATTGATCAAGGGTAACGTCATTCAGAAGTCACTGAGGCTGGTAGCTCATGGATGGGATCAAAGCTTCTCAGCTAAGTTACCTGAGCTTAGCTTCYACTAAGTTTTCACAGCTCAAACTGAAAACTCTGAACTGTCGGATCAGCTCCAAACCAAGGTGAAGCTCCTAGGCCTCAAAGCCCTGAGTCTGGAGCTAAAGTACAGATGTACACCTAGAAATATTAACTTGGCTCCCAAGTGATTGACAGGTGAGGTTTTGTAAACTGAAGGATGATAACAGTATTTAAACTACCACATTTACATAGCGCATCCTGATCTGGGAATCACAAATAACAAGCAACAGAGGCTGACCAKATGTGTGAGAACCTCGTGTTTCTAGTATTAGGAAAAAACAGGACATTTCTCAAAAACTGCCTGTATATGAAGAATCTTTTCCTAAAACCTTTCTTTAAAATACCTTGAAAATCATTAAAGATAGAAGAAGACATTAGATATGGCAYGCAGACACTTCATAGCTATGCTTACATGCTAAAAAGGTATCTTTTTAAACATTCTAATAATAGATTTCTTTCTTGGTCTACCCAATTTAGAAAGAGGTATTTGAAATGGGACAACCAGCAAACAGAAAACATGACTTAGAAAAGACAGGAGAAATAACAAAATGCAACCCTTCTGTATTCTTTGCTGTGTATGTGATGAGAGCCTCCAGCAGTACACTATATTTGGCCTTCAACATGCCAGCCTTCTCCTGCGTGGAAAGGACYTGGCAACACACACCTAACTTGAGATGCTGCAGGCCATTGAAGGCAGGCGACCTTCATCCCGCATCCTCACCGGAGCTCCCCGGGGCACCTCACAGCGCGGATCGCTGCAGAGCCATGCTCTTTGGCAGGAGCTTTTGAAAGCAAGGGAGGGCAGCGGACCCAGCTCGCTGCGCTGCTCCCATCCCCTGAGAGAGCCACCACGCTCCGAGCGTTCACGCTTGTGTGTCACTGTGCGGAATCAAGCGACAGCCCCCGCCACAACAGGAGCATCAGCCGCGGGCAGGATGGAGGAGGAACGGTACCGCCCGGGGGCCGCCGCGGCCCCTCCGACAGCGGTGCAGGCGGGGGCGAGCGCCGTGCCCTCCCCTCCTGGCCTGTCCCAGCCCGAGGAGCCCTTCCCCAGTGCCCGGGCCGGATCGGGCTCGGCGCCGCCGCCATTACTCACCCGCGGGAGGCAGGGCCGCAGCCGG